AATATATATATTATATATACATATATGTATATAGGCAACATAGAACATTTACGATAAATTTTCATAAATATTTATTACTTATTTTTTTAAATAAGTAATTACTTATTTTGTTATATAAATATTTCATATATATATTTTATATAAGCTTTATTTGTGAAAACATTAAAATATAGACTAAATATTTTATGTAATGTGTATAAGTTAAAATATTTTACTTGAATTTGTCTTATTAAGTATTTTCATACAATATGAGTATAGTAAACATTTCGTATTATTTATAATAAATATTTATAATGTTTTTATTAACAATAAAGTACATTTATACCATATACGTCGATAATATTGGATGTGTGATTTAGTTTTGAAAGTTTTTTTTTCTCAAAAATTGATTTATTTAAACAAGATAATAAATGAATACCTTAATCAAAATATATTTTTACCACTCGCGAAACTCTCAAAATTAAATCCCATATTTAATAATAAAACATTAAAATTCTCCGTACACAATCAAGAATCGCAAAAATATTTACAAAATATTAAAAATTAATTTTATAATTATTTTATAAATATTATATATATATATATATATATAGCTGTCTGAGACATATATAATTAAACAAGTAACTAAATAATATTTACGTAAACGAATTTATATATACAGTATATCGTATTTTGAATATTAAACGATTCAATATGCATGTAAATATACACAGGTATTTATAGTTGATTCGGGAGGTTCCGGTTTAATAGTGTATGATTCGTCTACAAAGCATATGTGCAGAGTCGAATCTGATTACATGAAACCAACTGATATTTTTTTCTCGGTAGCAAACAAAAATTTTACTTTTGAGGGCGGAATCTACTCTATGACAATCCTTGACGATGGCAAGTATTCGCTTTTTTGTTTATTTAAAAATTTAAATTTGTGTGTGCGGACCAGTATAATCTGCAATATTTTGCTGTAACTTCTAAATGATCTTTTTTTGTATTCTTCCAAATATTTTAGAACTTTATTATATTCCTGCATCAGGAAAAAATATATATAAGATAAAAATAAAAACGCTATTACAATGTCCAAATAAAAAAGAGGCCAATAAACAAAATAAATTCGTAACTACATTATCAAATCAATCAATAGTTTTGACATCAACGGAACATTCAATATTTTATAGCAATTTGTTGGAAAATTCTATTTTAGGCATGAACGTTTGTAAGAATTCTATTTTAGGCATAAACATTTGTAAGAATTCTAATAAAAACGAGGTAAGGTGTTCAAATATAATTAATTTTTATATACAAATTGTCAAGATAATACTTCAAATTCCATTAACGTTTGTTGCAAACGTTAATGGAATTAATTAACTGTTACCAGTACGTTCTATCTCTGTAAAATAAAAAATTAATTTTAAGGTGGAACTAGCGCAAGACGACGAAAAATTTCAAGTTATAAATTCGATGAAAGTTTCAAATTATTGGAACGAAATGATATGCATGTCAAATAGATATCAAAATTATTTGATGAATATATCAAATCTAAGTGACATAAACTACCGCTACTTTGAAATAAAATTATCAGAAGTACAGAAAATTATGAATCAGCACGTCTATGTCTTGGATTTTAATATATTTTGACAGACTTATTCATACAGTAATTTTATATAATATTACATACGAATAATACAAAGATTTAAGATTTAAATTTTTACATATGCATATGTAAGAATTATATAGATTAGTAATTTTATATTGTAAAAAATCAATTTGCAAACCTTCTTTTAAATTTAATTTTAAAAAAGATCTATGAAATAAAAATTTGAAAATGCACATAAAAGGAATATTTACAACGAAATTTTAATTCCCAAAACGGACTCGTATATATTGTGGTGGAAACTTCCTTATTTTCAATAACACATTAGGTTTATTTTTTATTACTAAACTACCAGATTCACTTAATGTAATCACTTAATGTAATCGTGGGATGAAGTCCCTGAAATCATTATAAAATTTATATGAAATTTCGATGTATAATTCGATAATCATATATGCAACTACAAGAAATAATTATCTATATATTAGATAAAATAATTTATTTTATCAAATGACCGCATATATAGTGAGAAAAATTATTTGTCATTAAATAAACTTGTATGAAATCAAATAAAATCATGTAACACATTTTTATATTTATAATAATTTTGCAAAATATTACGTATGAATACAAAGATATAACATTTAAATTTACATATGCATGCGTAAAAATTATATAGGTATACATAAGTATAATTTATAACTGTATATTATAAGATTAATTTGCAAACCTTTTAAATTTAGAAAATTTGAATATTTGTTAATTAAAAATAAGAAACGTATACAAAAAAATTACAATTAATACAAATAATAAACTATTTTTAATTCTGAAATAATTGAAAAAGATTTAGAACGTTATTTCTTAACCTCATAAAAACGAAATTAACTAGGTTACTAACATCTACACATAATCTTAACATTATCAATCTTTTAAGGAGGCGATATTAAACTCTGCTATATATTCATTTTCTTAAAATTTACAAAAGCACGCCAATTTAAAAGTCTTATAAAATTCTACGTATCATAGGTGAAAAGTTGAAAAGTACTATAGTCTAAAAATGCCGGACAGTATTTCAACTTTTATTTGAGAAACTTTAGAATGCACAAACGAATACTTTTTAAAATGCATACATTAAAAATTATAAACAAAAATTTACATAATTGTAAAAATTATAAACAAAATTTAATCTTAAAATCTGAGGTACAGATCACCTTTAAAGTAGGTTACTTTGAATTAACAGCACTTTAATTGTTAAACTGTTTAAAAAAATAAGTATAAAAATAATTGTTAAAATTACATGACAGTCGGGCGTGAATTAAAATATCAGAGGCAGTGTTGATTTTAAAAATTGAAATTTTATTCATATTTTTATAAGCAAAAACACAACAAAATTCAAGTACACTTATTTCATACATGTTAACTTCAACTAAAATTTAATTGTACATACAGTAACATGATTCGTGTGTGTAAGATGCAATGCTTTAATGTCTTTATGAATAATCGGCATACAATCGGACGCATCCTGCATCCTGCGAATGGAGGTCGATAATTTTGTGAAAAGGAATCTAAACGAGTCCTTGTTCGGCTATGCATGCACTGGTAAGGATCATCATTGCAGGCAAGCCTTCCCGCACATTTCTCTCTCTTTCTTTCTTTCTCTCTCTCTTTCTCTCTCTCTCTCTCTCTCTCTTTCATCAATTTTAACAAGTCTTAACCGCACCTTGATATCTCGCTACTGACTACTATCAAGGAGAGTGCTTTGAAATAGTTACAAAAAACGGCCGCCACAGAATAAGGCACACAATTGATGCAACGCGCATTTTTTTTCAATGTAACGATATATATTCGTACTTATTCTTTAATGTTACTTTGGTGTGAACGAACGTCCATAGAGCTACGCCTAATCATTCTGGAAATGATTTATACGTATGCTTAAGGAAACTAGAACTTTGCAGGAACAATGGTGTCTACATATCGCTGCTGCGTGACATTTGGTTTCGCGTTCCTACCCTCTTTCCGAGCCCTTCACATCATCATCACTGTCTTATCGTCTCGCTACATCATTCTATTCTCCATTATCACTAATTATCGATATTTATTATCGTTTTGCGTTCTGCTAATGTCTCAAATCTTTATTTACACATTCTTCTGAGGTATGTTATGGGCGTTATGATATGGGATACATGACTTCGCGAACCATATCTATCAATCGACCTACACGCAACCTAAGGTACCTTCAGTCTATTCCTGGACACAAATCAACTAAAGTGTGGGCTATGTCGTAACAAGTGCAGCTTTTCTTTATGTATATGCGTAAGTACACATATGCATCTTTGCAGTGCGTTCATCTGATTCCGGTCGAAACGCGTCTATCGGAAAAAAAGGATCGCCTCGCTTCTCTCTGATTTCTCGACGAACGTTTAGAGGTGAGATCGTCTTCGTGATCGACTATTTGTACAGTGGAATCCAAATGGGATCGAAAAAACTTGTCGATAATGTTCAATTTTAGAGATACGCGGAAATTTAATAAAAAGCATCGCTTCTTTAAATTGCAACGATCTCGAAGTTAGGCACGAGAGACGATATCTTTTTATAGATTCAAATTCTTTTTCGAATTAGCGGAGTATTAAATGGGAGATATTGATTTGGTGATGCTTACTCTAAACGTTCGTTGAACTGCAATCGTTACATGCATATCGTTATGTAACGGTCATACGATTCTTCTATATAGTAGATCTCATTATACTTCTCAATAACAGACTAAAGCTATGACTCACTGTTTAATTGCTGTCCGTTTTTTTTTTCAACTAGTATCTTCTATATGAGAAGGCGATATTACATCTATGCGATTACGTAACGCTATTTAAAAGCATGTATTATTGAACGATTTGCTCTGTCGGCCCTCCTTGGTACGTCCCCCCTTTCTCGATTAAGAGAAAGAAAAAGGAGACTCATAGTTGAACATGCGGAATATTCCGATAATGCCGAGTTAAAAATTGCGAGCAGTCAAAACTTTCCTAAGCAAAGGCCATCCAACGTGATTACGTGCAACAATAACTTCTAGTCTTTTAACATTCGTGTCTTTTATATAGATTCTAAAAATATGCTCTTGTCATTTCGACTGAGTGGTATTACGAGATATCGTAGCGAGAATACAAACAACAGTGTGGCATCTCCTTGCCCCCTATATTTCTCCATATACGTGTACTTTTCTTCGGTGTACTTTCTCCCCTTTTTGCTTCATTCAAAATAAAATTCGCGCTTTTCTCTCTATTATAACCTGGACAAAAACAACGTATTGCCTCTTGATAATGCAAGCTGGGTTCAGATAAAAGTTGACCGCTGAAACGTTACGAATCTCTGTCTTTGATTACGAATAATGACATACGGCAATGCTTATTATGATAATAATGATAAAATGCTATTATAGAGTGACTGCTACAATGCATGCTCCCATACATAAAATTTTGAAAGTTTTCCCACAGAAAGTTATACAATCACAAACGAACTCTTAAAACTATTTACAAAAATGGCTCGCGATTTGCGATGCTTTTCAAATAACATTTAGTTTTTTTTTTGAGCTTGTCACTGAACTTTCGAAAGAATATCGATTCGTTAAATCTCCGTCTCACGAAGATAAGACATTTGCTTTTGTATTGTGAAGGGGGTGCATATTACACGTACATATACGTGATATACCCAGAGAAAGCACTACACCCAGGCCTATACTTAAAAAAGGATGGCCTTGACGCGATATGTAATTATATATTACTATAATATAAGGTATGTTATAGTAATATATAATATTTTTTTCGTTTGAAAAAGTTTGCGCGGTAGGGTATATCTTCTCGATATTATTGTATGCTGCAGCATACCGCTTTGCACGGTATTGGACCATCACCGGTTTGACCATACAATGGTCGTTGCCTGAACATCTTCGAATCAAACGATAAGAACGGTGATTTTCCGTTGTAACAACTTTCATATACCTCGAACGCTTCATCGATAGGTATCTTCTCATCTGCCATGATAATGTCCTGATTTTTGTCCGGTATAAAGATTGGGATTTCCTCGCCACGGAAATACCCGATGGTTTTGTCCTCCGGATCATTTGGCACTGTTATCGACGAAATTACCGACGTGCTAAATTCGCTTGATTCTTCCTCCGTGTTGATGGTATCCCGTGCGAGTCTGTAATACCTCTGCACGTGGTCCACGATAGCTTTTTCGACCTCTATGTTATCGTCCTCCGCCGCCTCGCCTTCGCATAGAACTCCCGGACTTTGCAGCATCCTTTTTGGGGTTATCACAGGTTCCACAGTTTCTGCTTCCCAACACTCCAACACATCGGGCTCCTCTATGCTGACCGAGGATCCTATCATTACACTATCGATTTCATCGTTTTCGCTACTGTTCTTGCTGGTCTTCTCGCATATCTCCACGTTTTTGTTAATCATGTCGACGTAAGCAGCGGTCTTCGCTACAGGATTACTATGAAGATTAAACAAAATAGGTTCAAATGAGGACATCGATAACAACCTGCCGTCTTGCGAGACGATAATCTCTCCCTTCTCGAACGTCCGTACACTCACCATACTGTCCTCGCTCGTTTCTTTACTCTTCTCATCGTTTAAACTATCTAAACGTCGCATTTTGATATCGATATTCTCAACGGGATTTTTACTGATTTTTCTTAATGTCTTCATTCGTCTTCCATTAACTCTCTTTGAGTTTATCCGAGAACTTAAAGCAACCCTCATACCCGCAACGCTATCCTCCTGAGTAAATTCGCAAACGTCACCAACATTATTTTTCGGCTTATCTTTCGATCTCACGGCAGTGACAAAGTTCAGCGAAATCAATGAGGAAACCAACTGGCTCTGTGTATTCTCATCGACATTCTTGTTCCGTTTGTCGTTTCTCTTTGCCATTGTTTTTCTCTTTACAACTTTCGCGTCCCTTTTTCTTCTGCCGATCGATGTTGACGTCGAATCAGCTTCCACTTGATCGTTCCTGGCGTTGTTGTTGTTGATATTATTGTTGT